AGTGCCCGACAGCGATACCAAAGAGATGGCGAGGGAGACTTCAGCACTGACAAGGATACAGAAATGGGATCACAGCGAGAGCAGTAGCCTAAAATGTGAATAGAAAATAGAAAGGCAATCGAAAAGGTTAATGAGAGTTAATGGAAAATTGTGCGGAGGGACGGGTGAAGAGATATATAGAGGAAATGCCATTTAGGCAGGGGAAAGATGGGAGAGACAACTGGAACAGAGAAATGAGGGAGGAAGACAGGAAATGGAGGAGAAGGTGGAAGGGTGAAGGGGAGAGAGTGGGGAATGCCAAGACGAGGAGAGCAACATGGGAGGGACAGGCAGATCTATGAAGAGTGATAATGGGGAGTGGGAGGGTGAGAAAAAAAATATTGGCTGGAGTGGAAAGGGGAGGCTGGAGAGGGCTAGAGAAAGGAGACAGAGATAAATGATATATTAAAGTGCATCGCAAAATAGTTTACAGAAAAGGATGACAAGAGATAAGGACAATAATAATTATATTATTATATCATGCATAATACAATAACAAGAACTCCGTGTGTTTCTACACCCACGGTGTGATCCTACAACATGGGAGCGTGCTCATTTGTGCAGCGCGCCCTGAAGCGGTGGTGAAAGCGTTCTATTGCAAGAGCCTGACTCACCATAAAACAACAGGCTTTGCCATTCTATAAAGTGGCACTTATTTTATCAACACCGGAAGAGCAACAACTTGAGTTAACCCTCAACTGACATTTGAACTCGTGACTTAATGATTGCTGTCCAGGTGCTCTAGCACATTGTCAACTAACCGAATACAACACATGCCTACTGCTGGATGAAGGCTTCCCCACACCGTGGCATTAATTCGAGTTGTTTGACCATGCTTCACCATACCAGTCAGTGTGGGATGAAATACATCTGGGAGATGGAATGAGTAGATGCAAAGATAAAATCCACGCATGTGTAGGTGTTATATGGATTGCTTCATTAGAGGACCATGACAGATAGTGATGGCTTAGACATGCCTTCATCCAGCAGTGGCTTGATGATGATGATCAAATTTTTATTTAAAGCTTTCGTGACTGCAGGGATTCATATTCTTGGTTCTTTCGGTAAAGTCACGTAGAAGGGAAACAATAAAATAATAAAAAAATGGTCTTGCTGTGGTTTTCATACCTGATAATAATTGCTTGTGTTGCAGTCGAAACGTCGTGAGAATTTTATTGTTTTATATTTTTATTATTTTATTGTTTCCTTTCTACGTGACTTTACCGAAAGCACCAAGAAGATGATGATCAACATTATATTTTTTTTTATTTCCCAGAATTCCCTGACTGAGTCTCAACATTTTGTTTACAAAGATCCTGATTGTGGGATATTTGGTTAATCCATCACGAAGCACTTGCATGCTGGTTCATATTGAACTTCCTGGAGAAGACCCCACGCATTTATGAGGGGATGAGACTCAACAATACAAACCAGTAGGTGCACAATCTACTTGTTGGACTACGTTCTACCGGACACAATGTGGCGTTGTAAGGTCAGCTGTCTCACGCAGATTGCAGCGCTCCCAGCAAATAGAGTGCACAGTGAGAACAAACGACGAGTCTTGGCTGAGAGTTATTGCAGAAGGAAGATGACAAAGTGGAGAGGAAGAGAATGGGACAATGAGAGGACGAGAGAGAGATAGGAGGGCGTGTCCAGAGTGTGAGAAGAGTTCGAGGAAAGGGAGGCATGAGAGAACGAGATGGGTAACGAGGAGGGACCGAGGCTGGAGAATGGAGACTGATTACGGACACCGATTGTGTGCAATCATTCGAAACAGATGAGTCCTGCCCCCAATTTGTGCCAATAAAAATCAAGGCATCAATTACAGCAAGGGCATCACAGTGAATGCAACTCCCTCCTTAATCAAGCGCAGGGCTTCATTCAGTTTCTCCTCCCACCCAAACATTGGGGAATGTTTGTGCTGTTTTCACTTAACGTAACGTATGTTCCTGTTTTGCTGTTACACAGGAAACACGCATCAATTAAGCTATCAAAATTGTATAGTCAACAAACGAATAGATCCATGTGTCACTAATTCTATATGTGTTCCCATAACCCGATAACGGTATCCGTTGTTGAACGCTTCGTAAAACCAGGACCTTTGTTTTGAAAGCCTTTTGCGTTAATTCGAAGTTAATTTTAACTGAAGTTTTTTTTTAAAGAATGCAACGAAAACAGGTGTTTGAGAGGCGGACGAGAGATCGACGCATGCGCGGACCCACGATGATGTCACCGTGTCGCGTCAATCACGCAGGTTCTTCACGTAAATATAGTGCACACGGGATCGAGCGCGTCAAATTACAGCGCAATGCTGCGTCGCATGTAACCTGGCACTATCGCTGGATTTACATGCATGTATTTATGTACATGCATGTAAATCCTGACAATTTGGCGGTTGGCTGAAATGTCGTTATCTGTTGAAGGAGTCCACGATTCATAACCACCCTTGCGTGTGGTTTTTTTTACGCTGTTTATCATATTAACAGCGCTTATAGTTCACTTAAGAAAAAGTGATAAATAAGTGTGGTAATGCAATTTTTGCAGATGTTTTTTTCGGCTTTACAGACAGCAAATCACTTCGGTAGACACACGAAAAAATAATGGACTAATACGAGGCTTTGGCAGAAATCACATGTGGAACACAAAGGGTTGGATTCAACCACACAGTGCTGCACTGTTGTTCCCATATAAAAATTACTTCTTATCGTGTGCACATCCACACATAAATCCATGATTATGAGTGCAAGAGGGCAACATTTATGTCTGCTTTCTTGGAATGCTTAGTTTAGCCTTGGCATGACATTTCCACACCGATGATACTCAGCAGGTTGAAGCATGCAGACTTGTAAAAAGCGTGTTTTTTTGTGATCAGAAAAATATTAAAAATGCTCATTATTCATGTCCAAGTGTGATAATGTAATTGTTGTGCAAATATACAAATATTTTTAACAATTAAAATGTACCACGACTATAAAATATGCCTGCCGATGCTCTGGTTAGAGTGCTTGACTCGTAATGAAAGACGATATGAGATAAAATCTCAGTCAGAGTTCGACTCGGTACATCATTCCTCCAAGGTTTATACACTGATCAGTAATGGTTATCCCATAAGCAGATGGTCTTAAACATCAGAATGTATTATTTCAATCTCTGGCTCAGAGCGCCATCCATACTGTATTTAAAATTTAGACATTTTGCCATTTTAGAACATTCCATTGCAAATGTTGCCATTAAATGGATGACTAGATTAGGACACTTCATTTTGTATAAGTTACATTTTAATTTTTGAAATTGGTCGTCCATAGTTTATGGCAATCTTCTTAACATAACTTTTACCATTCGTGCATTTAAGCAGAGACAACCGTGAGAAGAAACACAAGCATGACTCACTCGAATGCTGTGTCTGTCTTTGCAGGAAACTTTTGGGATGAAATATTCCGCTCAGGGAAAAAGGAGGCAACAATAAACTCAAGGCAAGTACCCCCCTACTCATTTTGCACGGAGGAGTGGCAATGGGTTGCTTGCTAATGTAAGATCTGAAGGTGTTTTGTATTGTCTGACAAAGGTTTTTGTCTGACGAGAAAAAGCAATGTGCTCGACTTAGAACCCTCCCTGCACGTGAAAATACGAATCGGGTTATTCCGAGAATAATTTCTAAACAGGCAGACAGCGTTACAGCCAGCACATTCACAAAGACTGCACCCTTAAATGATTCATAATTAAGCTTTTTGGGTTAGATCGCTTCAGTATAAATGTGTCGTAACCCTCCACCACCCGACACAGACAATAAGTAAGGGATTTGTCACGTAAACAAAACACCAAATAGTTACTACTTCAGCCCACCGGTGTGTTGGAGAGTAAATCCACAACATTTACAATTTGGTTATTACATTCAGCATCATGGGGCGATTTGCCAGAATATTCCGGAAAATTCTGGCAAATGTAATTACCAGCGAAACGTCGTTTTATTTGTTATGTTTTATTCACTGTATTAACATTGTCGGATTGTGGGGTCTGCATCAAGATTTACCTATTTGAATGAAGGCATTATGAATTATGATTAGTGATGATGACGCCATGCCATAAAGCACATATGGGTTCAGACTTGTCAGTGTTAATCATTACTATTGTGATTATTTCAAAAGCTTCAGTGTATATCCCCTGACTAATTCAATCGTTTATTTCACTGGATATTATGTTTCCCGTTTAGGGTTTCCTGGGTAAATTTTTTCACCAGCTTTTTCAACGGAGCTGCTAACAAATGCAGCACGGCAAGGGTGCAGAGTGGCCCTCTTTCTGATGTGGACATCCCAGTCGCAGGTCTAAACACATTTAGCTCGCAGCTCAATTACACCCAGAAACAAGGCACTGCAGGGATGTATTTCCAGTGCCTGTCGCACAGTCGTCACTCACAAGGGACCCACAAGAACGCTTGGATAGATAATTACCAGACAATCTCTGCACCTGTAACTGTTCATGTTTACTGAGACATCCCTTTTATATAAAAAAACAGTTTTTGTAATCACAATCGACTGGAATGAGAACGTAAAATTTACCACACTCAAAAAAGCCCTCGCAGACTTTGAAGACAATGTCCATTTTTCACTTGTCAGCCTCAGGGCTCAAACCCAGGATTTCTCAGAGGTGCTGTCTCAATACCCTAACACACTCAAAACCCAAGACCACTGAGCCACCTTAGATGAAAATGTTGATGCCATATATGTCTCTCAAATGTGAGCGTTGCTGGGAGATTGACTCTCAGAGCACACGCTAGGAATATCAACTTGATTTGTGTGAAGAGGCCATGATATGAAAATCAGAAGAGAGGTAAGCATCTCAAATATTTAAGTTTCTATTTTAACAACCAGCTCACGTGAATTTTAACCCAAAAGAGGGGAAATATGAGTTTAACTTTTTGTTGGGATATAAAATAAACAACTCGTAAAATAATGGCTACTTACCAGCGAGAACCAGCTTCGGAAGGCAAGGTATTGTGTACATATTCCAATGAGAAACTGAAACAATATGAGAAGACAAAGGTGAAAACGCGGATGAAAATCGGTCAAACTTTTGCACAGCACTGAGGCATTTTTAACGACTCTCTATTTAATAATACACAAGTCCAATTTATAATGCGTACATCATTTGTCCCGCAAACTTCTAATAGTTTTCTAATATCAGCAAGACAGGTATTCTATTTGCTGAAAAGTCCGTGTTAAAGACCATGTGGCCTCTTTCATAGGAAGCAGTTCATTGCTTGCCCATGTCACTGTTCAAATCTAAATGGCGTGGTTTTACTTCAGACTGTATTCCCCCGAGGTTTGCCTTTGCATGAACTATTACATTTTTTCGGAATCAAATTAGATTCGGAGGAATAAAGGCATAAACATAAATTGAGGAATGCTTAGCCATCGGAGATTTTGCCCGCAACAGTCATTGTAGCACCCAATGAAAACGACTGCAGGAAATTATTGAGCAACTTAACAAAAGTGGGCAGCCAAGTTGGTCTCAAGATAAATGATGCAAAACAACAAAAAGTTAACAGCAACGTGCTTGCTAAGCAAGATGCAATCGTTCAAGTGACACCACTCGAGAATACAGTTTCAATATACCGCATTGCGTATCGGAATCGCACATTTTTTTTTAAATGAGAAAATAAAATGTAGAACAGAGAGTGCTGTGAGATGTAAACATGAGAAAGAAGTCGCCTCTGCACCCATGGCTTTACCGTATTTTGTTGGCAGTGACATTTTATGGAAATTGAGAGCGGTGAACCGGTGACCAAGATGAAGAAAGGTTTTAATCGTTGGATAATTCTGGAAAGTGAATCAGAATAAATGGACATGGACACATTAAAACATCTGAAACATATGCAAATGATTACACTGAGAGAGAGGCGAAATTTTACACGCGAATCAAGGGATTTTTGTTTTTTCTTTCTCAGAGAGACAGTTTGGCAGTTGAGAAAAGTAACGAGGCATGGGCAGGTCACATCACTGGAAGAGATGATGTGAGATGGATGAGACTGGTGACAAAATGGTAGCCAAAGGAGAAAACACATCTGAGAGAATGACTGCAATTGAAATGGAGTGATGAGATCAGTTTATATGCAGGAGATTGATTGTGGCACCACAGGACCATGAGGGATATCAATGGCATGGAATGGCCCTTCAGCTTGCAATGGGTAAACCCTGGCTGAAGGTGATGATGACGATGATAAATGTTACACAACCTGGGTAAATTACGTTAATCAATTAAAACAATAAATAAGCGTGCAAGGCTAGCAGTGAGAATTCCAGATTCATATGGTGATGGTGAGTCTCTCCCATATAACAATTAATTACAGCAATCTTTAATTTCCCATTACAGGCACACCAAGGGGATGCATGTATCAGTCACGGCGCAGAGAGTCTGGTTCCGTTAATAATCGAGAGCATGGCGAGTGTCCCGGGGGTGAGGATGGAACACCACCAGGGCAGGGGTGAGGAGGCTGCTGCTGCGGTGAGCAAGACGGCTTCAGTGTCCATGCTCTGTGAGCGAGGCCCTCGCTCCTCACAAAAGACCCGCTTGTGTGTTGGGGTTAACGAGAGGCTAATGGTTTCCAGTAATGGATAATTTTACCCACTTACGCCTCTGTTGCATTTAAATACCAGAAAATGTTGGCCTCAGAATTTGCAGCCTGTGTCAAATCGAGGATTCTCCTCTGGCGTTCAAGCAGAACACCGAGGTGCATGTTGCCGGCAAACATTAATGCACCCCAGAAAAGTACGATATGGACACCGCCGAACATTGCTCCAATAGATCGCACTCTTAAAAATAACAATTCTAGGCTTAATTTCACAAAAGCTTTCGAATGTGTGAAATGTTTTGACAAGAGGCTTTGCCTTTAAAGTAGCGAACGTAGCGACGTGTGCAGGCTGACGGCATAAACGAACTGTGATCGGCGCAGAGGCGGCACAAGTTGATCCACATGTGCCCGCGAGTGCGGAAAGTTTACGTTACTCGCGAAAGTAACACGAAAGGTTAACGCGGCCTCGCGCCAACATTAAAGGGAAGGGGAAAGAGACACGGAGCAGATGTCGTCCGACTTCACTGCGGGGCACCGGTCTTTATTGCAACAGTTAATTTGACTGCGTGCGGACACGTCTGCGCACCCCCGAGGTTGACGACAACAACGGGCTTCGCTCATTGTGATGCCGAGACAACGGCGTCTGAGCCACCCAGGCTGATTAGGTGATTAGGGCACGCAGGGAAGATTTCGAGGCCTGGGGGCGCGGTGGGCGAGGGGGGGGGGGAGGTCAAGTGGGGCCCATGTCAAGTGGCCAAGGGGCACAAGGAGACATGGGGGGTGACGGGGTAGCACAGAATATGACTTTCTGCCACCCCTGTCTAGATGTTGGGGTGGTAAACTCGCCCCCCCCCTCCCGCTTCTCCTATGTTCCCATACTCGTGATAGTGAAAAATAAAAACTCCTCTAAGGCTACATTGAGGTTTAAAGTGTCAAATTGGGGTATCGCCGTAATGATTAATATGTATCGGCTATCTAGGACACGAGGCCTCTTGGTAAATTAGTGGCAGACAATTATTTCTGTAACGGTTGGAAAAATGTAATAGCCTATTTAGAATGATGCCATTGCAGAAAATAGCCTATTTAGAATGATGCCATTGCAGAAAAATGAACGTCTTACACATGGCATCAGTATAGGTGGCTTACACAGCCCCGGTCACCTTAGTGATCACTGCGCTCGCAACTGAGCCAGTTTTCTCAACACTGACAGTTTAATTTCCACAACCACCCAGTCGTGTTAAGGGGCATTACTAACGAGTGCAGTCTTTTGTAACACGGATGTTAAGAAACCTGTGATGTCACGTGCGAGAGAAAGGGATCGTTTGGTTGTGGTTTCATGGCCAATGTTGCGGGGGTCAGAGCGGAGTGGATGCGTAGTGGTTATTACACTCTCCTATGAACTTGGTGACCTTAGTTTGATTCCTGGCTATAGCTATCGGTGGCGAGCGATATCTGAACTATTCCTGGTGACCCCCCACCCCCCCCCCCCCCCCCATTCACCAACTTGCACTGACAACTGCGAAGTACGGTAAAAATAAATACAACTAATCAAACGGGACGGAGAAGAGTTAATCCAGGGCTGTAAATGAGTATTCTATAATTCACTGACGGCTCCATGGCGTTAGTTTAGGTGAATCTGTAAATCCCACCTAAGGTTTTGGTATTTTTGGTGACATGTGCAGATGTTTACTTGTTATTAACGAAACCTCCTCCATGTGTCACCTGAAACTGGAACATCTGAACGACCAGCATACTGGAGCCATCACCGCAAAAATCCCGGTTTTAAATATTGTACATCTGCAACCTGTTCCTGCGCAATTATACTCATGCATATTTGTAACCTTCAAAGGAGATGGTAATTCCCAATGGGCTCTCGCCTGTTCAAGTATAGGACGTTAATTTGATTATTGCAGGTCTATTAATCCCCCGATTGTTTTCTAATTCATCCAGGCCAGCTACAGATGAATCAAATCTACGGATGTATAAAGTTAGAACACAACATGTGTTTTGGTGGTTGTGCATTGTAAATGGACACATCAGCATGGCAATATGGCAACATGTCACACGTAGCCAAAACTTACTGTAAGCATACACTTGCGAGAATATTATGAAGTGCCTCTTAAAACCCCTGCAGGGATCCGTATTGCACAATCGTTCTCATTGCAGCTATGAATTTCCTTTTCCACACTTGGGCATGTTTGTTTCCATAGAGAGTCATTAAAACAAACACGGTCCGTACAGCTGAGGCTGACAATCAGGTAATGGGAAATGAAAAGTGCAAGGGCGTCCAGTGCTCCGCCTGTGCGCAAAGCCCAGGAGGGTCCCGGGAAAATAAGCACACGCTTACAGGCGGGGCGGGGAAAGCACTGTGGGAGAAAGTGCATTGATGGAGATAAACGTCTTCCAAGACAAGACGTACGAAATGAGCCTATCAGACTGACCGAGAGTAATGGCGACATCGCTCCGAGCCTTTCCTTAACGCGCAGCTGTGTACATCGTGCATAACGCAGGGGCTGCAATGGATGGATGTCAAAATGGTCTGTGGACTCGTCTTCTTAGCGGGATTATTTTTTTTTTATTACGGATCCGCCGTTGGCTGGATTGGCTGCAACGCTCCAAGTGTCTCTGTTCAAATGGACAAGAGGCTGAAGTTCATTTTCAATGATGATGTCCCAATGCTAACTGATTTCCATTTCAGTGACATTCACTCACCGATTGAGTAAATAAAAAAATAAAAGTACAAACTGCACTAAAACATATTATACGCACTATTTTAACGTAATTTGCAAATATATCTATTGTTTTAATCCGAGTTTATTTATTTTATCAGAAGGGCTCACTTCAATTGAAAAGCCGAAGTGTCTCCCAGCTCCTGAACACTGTAGTGCAAATTTTGACTTAAAACTTTCGTGACTGCAGGAATTAACATTCTTTGGTTCGTTCGGTAAAGTCACGTAGATAGAATAATACTAATAAAGTATAATAAAATAAAAAAAATACTTTATTTTTATTCTTCTTTTTCTATCTATGTGAGTTTACTGTAGTGCAAATTCCACATTCCTACGGTAGTCTATAAATAGCACAACCACCGTTGTCTTCCAACAAAGAGGTGCCTTCGCAAGTGACCCTGCAGGGATGATAAGCTGAGTGAACTCCTCACCCACGAGTTGAACACACACAAGTCGAAGGACTCTGCCACCATGCCACCAGGCGAAATACTGCAGTTAAACTTCAGACTGTAACTGTCAGAAGAGTCCTGGGGTGTAAATGACGTAGATTCCAGAGGCTCATGTTATACCTCCTAATTAGTATAAACTTAAATATGCTAACAAGAGCAGTGATGATGCACACATGTCGAGTGCCATGGGCCAACATTAGAAAATACTTAGACCGTTGATTTTTATATTTATAAAACTCTTCCTTTACAAGTCTGCAAAACTCCATAAACAAGATGCTATATCTCTGTGAATTTCTACAATGTATTTCAGGAAGAAAAAAAACAATATAGTCTGATAATAGAATGATTCGTGTCGCAGGATTTGCGTCATTGACTATCTACTTCCAGATAAATGTTAATGTAGGAAAAGTATACGCTGTGGAATACCCTACTAAATTATGAGCACTTTCTCTCGAATAGGCATTATGATGTTATTTTCTCTTGGATTGTGAAAATGTATGCCACATTTATTGGAAGTCAAGACTGGTTGTCTGATGCAATGACTGACCTCCACCATAGGAATATGGAATTTTCATGTGACTTAGTGCTGCAGACAGACGGGTACTGCTCAATGCTCTTATAAGCAGAGATATACTTTGTATCTTTGACTATGCAGTCATGTCAATTTCTCTGCTATTTTGGTAAATGGGGATATGTGATAGGCAATGCCATTTACACAAAATAATTAGAATAGCCTTTGTTTATATTGAAAAGCCTCACTGAGTCTTGAGGCTCTTTTTTCAGGAGGGTTCTGCATTGGGATGTTTGGCCAATATCATGGTTTGCATGTGCGCTGAAACCAGAGTACTTAGGCCTGGAGAAAAGCCACACATACAAAGGTCCACACCGATGGATGCAATCCACCTATTCAGAACGAGCTTGAGAGGTTCACAATTTTGCGTGATCCAGCAACCCTCGCCTTCAAGGTGCCCGGGTTCCACGTTTGGGCCACCATACCCGACTAAAATACGACAAAACACAAAGTCTTCCAACTTGTTGTGGTTGTTTTGGGAGGCTACGCTGACAATTACAGAATTCCTTGCAGGGCATTTGCACATCATGCTCCTATAAAGGAGGTCAAGGTGCAGCCCTGCAATGCTTTATCGCGTCACTGCGAGTGGAACGGGCCTCCACGAGACGGAGCTCAATAGTATCCCTCTAGAGCAAGCGTGGCAAACCTGTAGCACACCAAGAGGCAAAAAGCACCCACGAGTTCTGCAAAGAGCCACGTGTACATATAAGTGTATATATAAACTGACAGTTCTCGGCACAGCACGGGAGACATTCATTATGCTTTGCTACTGTGATAGTGCATTCTGCATTGTGCCCCTTAGAGAGAGACGCCAGTTGGCCACCGCTGCTCTAGAGGGTATTTTGGCCTAATCGTCCACACTGGCCAGACATTTCGGAAGAGGCTGGAATACCCACACTTTACCCCATCACACATAAGCTGCGGATCGACCGAGTACCCAATTATGCTCGCCGGTGGGCCAGAGGCGGTGGTGGAATGGAGGAGGCGTCGGGAGGGATTTAAGAAACTTACTCAATTGTTTCCGTGCCAGAAGATGGAACCGGTGACCTCTGGATTGCAAGTCCAGTGTGCTAACCATTACACCACCGCAGCATCTGTCATACCGCGCTTTACAGATATGTTAAGTTGTGCTTCCCATACAGTGGTGGGCGCATGCCAGAGCGTTTTGAGCTCCGATACTGGCGCCTGCATATCCTACCTTGTGCATGCGTAGGCGTCAATTCCCAGTTGTCAGTGGCCATTTGGCCCTCTATGACTTCCTGCACTGGGGAAAGCCTGTCTGTTGGAGTGCCAGTGCTCTCGTATTAACTTCGTCTCATGGGGGTGTGGGGTTATGTACACTGACTTACAACAGTAACTATGAGGCTTGCAACCTCATGATGGTAAGGGGTGGGGGTGGGGAACTTCATTGCGAACAATGCCTCTTGTCTTTCAATGAAACATCATTTAGGAAGTCCCCATTGTGTTTAAATGTAGTCATTTTTGGGAACTGTTCAAGTTTTAGCATGAGTTATTTGGTGGAGTTCAGTGAGGTTCCATTCCGTGTGGTGTGCATCGGTGGTAGTCCCAGCGTGGGCCACGACAAGCCTCACTTGCTACGCTGACCTTAAGAGGCGCTTGCTAACTGCACTGGGGGCGAGGTGGAGCGGTGGCGCAGTGTTTAGTGCACTTTACTGTGAACTGGCTCAACTGAGTTACTTTTCTGAACACAGCGAACACAAGTGGCGAGTGATATCTGAACTGCAACCTGGCCTCCCTTCCTTAACCGGCACTGACTAGAGTGGTGAAGTATCGTCCCTCTTGGCCGACACGGCCTTCATCCACCAGTGGATTGACAAAAAAGCCATAGTAGTAGTAAAGTGCATGCAGTGCATTCAACAACAGCCGCCATTCACCACGAAGTGGCGGTGATGTCACTACGACGCTTGTGTCAGGCTAGGTGCACTTTGAGGACATGTGAAGTATGGATGGCTCGCTAGCAGGAGGTCACGGGACAGAACCAGGTGTTATGAGTCCACTGAGATGACTGGCAGAAGAAATGCCACACATACACAGATTTTCATATAAAGATCCGCAATGTAGCTTACATACACACACACACATTGTAATAGATGTGTGTATGTGTGAGGGGCCGAAGCCTAATTGGTCGACTCGGTCCCTTCAATATGGCTATTGTACTGACTTGACATCAAGATGCAAGTTCCAGAATTCTCATGACACTGCCAGAGCTGATGATTGGCGGCTGTGTCCGGAATGGTGCCACACCCAATTGGTATGGTGAATTGTGGCCAACACTCCACATGAAATGGGACTGCTATTCCATAATTACCGTCAATTGGCGCAATAGCACAAACATTTACATCTAAAGTGTACATAAATAAGGCCCAATGGGTGCGTGTAACCAAGCAGCTGTTGGAGCGGGTGACTTACCTCCATTGGCGGCCTTACAGTGAGGGAAAAAAAGTATTTGATCCCCTGCTGATTTTGTACGTTTGCCCACTGACAAAGAAATGATCAGTCTATAATTTTAATGGTAGGTTTATTTGAACAGTGAGAGACAGAATAACAACAACAAAAAATCCAGAAAAACGCATGCCAAAAATGTTATAAATTGATTTGCACTTTAATGAGGGAAATAAGTATTTGACCCCCGCAAATGGGTGAAAGTGTTGTGGTCAGATGAGACCAAAATGGAGCTCTTTGGCATCAACTCAACTCGCCGTGTTTGGAGGA